CGATGTCGCAGTCCGGCTGTTTGTGCGGCTCTTAATGCCGAGGCCCAGCCGAACCCAATGGCGTCTTTCCGATCGGTCCTTCCTCCTGTCTATCTCGAACGCTCTTTCAACACCACTCAACACACCTTCTCAACTCAAGCATTTCGCCGCGAACAAGCTTTCGCAAGCTAACTTGGCAGATGAGTAGCTTACTACACTTCAGGTGTGCACGCCGGGCAGCACCTATCACGAACTTCCTATCCCGTACTAGCACCACCACACCAATCCTTGCCAAGTCACACGCCAACTGATAAGCAACGACAAGCTTCTGCTGCAGTTAATTTATCCGGCATATCTGCGCCATGGGAGCTTTCCGTCGTTGCATAGGGTCTTTGGACAGTAGCGATTTCGAAATTCGATGTGGTCGCGAGCCGAGGTACAGTGAGAAATGCCATCGCACAGTAGAGCTGATGGAAATTGTAAGGAACTCAGGGAGACCAGATCTACTACGTTAGGAAGAGCATGCGGCATCTCCAAAGATCTCGCAACACAGTCGGGCACCGCATCTCCCACCACCTCTTTCGCTTTCGCTGTCGAATCTGCAAGAGAGCATTCGGGCGTTATCCCAAAGAGGCAGGAGAACCTGACGATGCAAGCACGACAACCACGAAGTCGGACACTTTCACGCACATGTGGTCGAAGTGACAGTGATGTGATAGGCGGACTTGGTCCCGTACACCAGGAAAATCACTTATCAGGGTCTTCTGATACCTACCGAGTCAACACACGAGCGGGACTGTCCACTCATACCCCTGTCCAGCCCGGTAATTCGCCGATCTCTTGGTGAAGAGGCCTTCACCACACGACCTGGACTACCAATCAGTAATTCGTATCTCGGCGTTCGACCTGATGGATCGTGTAGGCCGCTTTCCAGTTCAGCATGGAGGGCGAATCTAGCTGGATGGCTATGCGCCTGACCAGTAGGTATTAGGAAGGTATCATCAAGTGTTGGATCTGGAACATCGCGCCATCGTATAATGAGTGTGTCTAGAGGTATACGACACATAGTACGGGTTCGACTTGGGAAGTATATAAGGAGTGTCGAAGGCCGCTGGTTACACTTCACTCATCAACGCAGCATTCGCTTCAGCAGTCTATCGTTCTACTCTCGATCCCTTCTCTCGCTTCGACTACCTTCTTAGTCCCGCAAAATCATTCTACCCTTCATCATGAAGCTTTCCATCGCTATCATCGCCGCCATCACTGGCTCCGTTCTGGCCCGTCCCTCCTCCCTCGCTGAGCGCGTTCAATCTCGTGCTGATGGCAGTCGCCGTCACAGGACCCAGCCCATGATTCTAGTTGGCACAGCCGCGAAAGAGAACGCCAAGTTCGTCGCAGACGTCGACAACACCACCGCCCACGTCGACTACTCATCCAACTGGTCCGGTGCCGTCCTCGAGACACCCTCCTCCGGCTACTTCAAGTCAGCCACCGGACGTTTCACCGTGCCCACACCCAAACACGTTGGCTCTGGTGGCACCGAGTCTTCCTCAGCCTGGGTCGGCATCGACGGCGATACCTGCGGCAGCGGTTTGCTTCAAGCAGGTATCGACTTTACCGTCAGCAGCTCCGGCGCCGTTTCCTACGACGCCTGGTACGAGTGGTACCCCGACTACGCGTACGACTTCAGCAACTTCGCCGTCAAGGCCGGCAACGTCATCCAAGTCGACATTGTCGCTACCTCCACCACCAAGGGTACCGTGTCACTCACCAACGTGAGCACGGGAAAGAAGGTCAGCCAGACGCTCAGCGCGCCCAGTGGCTCCGTCCTGTGCCGTCAGAACGCAGAGTGGATTGTAGAGGACTTTGAGTCCGGAGGTAGCTTGGTTGCGCTGAGCAACTTTGGTACTGTTGTCTTCACCCAGGCGAGTGCTAGTTTGAGCACGGGTGGAACGGATGGGTTGAGCGGTGCTACTATTATTGATCTTAAGCAGGGTAGCACTGTTTACACTGATGTTACTATCAATAGCGGCTCGCAGGTCACTGTTCAGTACATTTAGGTTGTGGATGGTAGGAGAGGAGGGCGTGGTCTGAAGGTTGCGATGGGGTCCACAGGCTGTATGAACAAGACTACATTGGGTAGGGATTAGAAGCTCGATCGCGGATAGACGCACTTTGAGGACTATATAGCAATGAACTATTTACACGTGAGAAGACCCAGCGTTGGTGTAGATGTCAAGGTCCTTTGTAAACCTGCAAGTCACACCTCTCTTGCTATTGTAGTATGTAACGCGATTGGCGGCTCGTTCATTTATTGTATGAATGCATTCATTTGTTTTCTATCTACTCCCGATCAAAGCTGTCGCGTAGACATCTTGAATGCATACAGTAAGCCCTCCCTCAATGAAAGTCCTTTCCGTTCCGTCTTGAGTCGTTCCTAGAGTTTACCTCGGATGAGATCTCACTTCTTAGTGCCGCCGCTCTGCTGGCCACCGGCATTGGCATTGCGATCGCCAGCGCTCTGAGCGCGAGCCGCGAAACCACCAGAAGATATGTCGCCGCCGCTCTTGGCCTAGACGAAGAAAGATATGTTAGCGTCGGAAGAAGAGTGTGGTTCGGCGGGACAGAATGGGAAGGCTTACTTGACCAGACTGGATCCTGCTCGCATCGCCCTGGGTCATCGGGGTAAAACCCTTGGAGCCACCGCCAGTGTTGCCGGAGTTGGTGTTGTTGTTACCCGACATGGTGGGAAGTGAGGTGATGGAAGCTTGAAGTGGTTGGTTTTGTAAAAAGTGGTAATGCGAGAGTTGTATCGTATGATGATTGCGATGACACCCCTATCTAGGTGCAAGAACGTGCTTTTATATCGTTGTCTTGGGGGGCATTCTTGGTCGTTGATGATGTTGCCGCGGAGCAGGTCGTGGGTAGATCGGCTAGTGCATGTGGTACAGCAGCAACATCATGCCTCTGTATATTGAAACGAAAATGTAGAGCTAGGGTTGTCTACACCGCTTTTTGCAATGTCGCCGACCTTGGTCGATCGCAAGAACATGTGAAGTGTTGTTTGTGAGAGTGCAAACACGATATCTCCAGCGCTCTTGCCCTTTCTTCGTGAGCGCCGAGCGTACCTACTTAGATAGTCCTGAAAAGTGGCTTGGGAAAGTTCCGAACTCTCATGATTCTTCTCTGCTCAATACTTGAGACTTCATGCGAGACATTATAGCCTACATCATAGCGACGTCTACATCTCCGATTGACACGCATGGTGTAGTACAACAACCTCGATGACGACAGCCAACGGGAACTTGGCGCGCAAAACTGCATCTTGTCTTCCAAGTCTGGAATCCCCGCCGTCCTCATCGTACGATTCTTGTGCAAAGCGACGCATGAAGCATTCTGCTGACAGTACTGCGCCCGGGTGGATAGGTATCACAGTCATGGGCATGACGATGCAGATCCGCGGAATGGCAACGGGGAATACGATGTATACGCCCATTCTCGATATGCGAGAGCGTCTTCGACCTGCGATATGCCCAATTCGTAGCACGTGCCCGAAGACGAGTATGTTGATCGAAGCGGAAGTCCCCTACGATACTGTCCAACTGTGCAGTGGTTCTGCATGCATTGTATCAGGGCGCTGCCCAATCCTCCTTCTTTGGAGTTGGAGGGAGATTTGTAACGTGGTATCGACAGTCCTAATCATGATAGTCGTGCACCGGTTATTCAACAGGATCGCTTACATCGTCCGCTTTCGCGCCTCAATCACCAGGCCTATCTACGCGCGCCTCAGTAATGAAATGGAAGAACTCTCAAGGCAACCGCACAACACATCTGAGCCCAATCCCGTATATCACCCGGAAGCTTATGACTACAATCAAAGCACTCCAGGGCTCCTAACGAAGTTGGAAACGAGCCGTAGCGACAAAAAGAAGCGGAATATCTCTTTTAAGTGGTAGATACAAGATATCCAACATGCAGTTCTTCGATAATCGGTCTTGTCTAATGCTCGGCCTCTGATGTTACTTACGAACGAAGGCTAACAGGATACAGCCCTCTCCGTCGAGCCTTCCGTCATACCACCCATGAAGCCTTCGCTGTACTACCTGTCGGCGGACCTAGAGTTCAGGACGCATTCACTCATCCTAGCTGCTTTTTCAACGCACTGCGCGACCATCCAAGCGGACGACCACATGCAATGCCCACCGCCCCCTTTAGCGCGCGAGAACTGTGTTTGTGGTAAGATAACAAACGAAGCGCTTCTGTTGCGTACGGAACCTGCTGCCTGTACATACGTGGGAATGCTCATGGGGGTGTTGTTCTCATTTATCTCCAACATGAGTTTTCTGGTTTCTCACTTTCCCACCCTCACCTCGCGCCCTGCACTCACCTCCAAGAGCCACATCCTCACCACCATATCCATCTCTTACTGTTACACCTTTAGAAGTAATGGAAGCGCAAATCTCTGGGTATATATATCACGATCTTGCATTGATTCCCATCGATTCTATCGCCCTTTGTCCTCAATGGTCTGGTGAGCCCTTCCTAGGAAGTAATTTGCCATGTACTTCGGTTCGATTCCGTCCTCTGACCTCTGATAGCTGTTAAATGCCAGTCTAGCTTGTGAGTGAGTCCAACTAATGGACGATCTTACAGGTAGATGATTGGCCTCTTGGGTACAGCTTGATTTGGAAAGTTTACTTTTTTTTGCCTTTATCAATCCTTCTTTTACTATGCTTGTATGCACAAAACAAAGATGTTTACTTGTACTATTAAGCGGTTTTCTCTTTTTTTGCATATTAGAGGTGAGTGTGCGCGTCCTTGCGAGAAGTCGTTTGCTCTCTCACCTCAGCCCCACTTTTTGCTCTCCGCGTCTCGACCGCAAGATACGGTCAACTCGCGCTCACCTTCGCAAGCTTGCTATTTAAAACCTTCTCACTACCGCTACTGCTCTCTTCTCTCATCAACTTCCTATCTCCCTTGTTAACTTCGCATTTCCCTCCTGCAACTCCTCCACGTCGACCATGGCGAGCTCCCACTCCTCCAACACCAACGACTTCGCCGCTCTGGACGCCAAAGCGCGCGATCACTTCGACCAGAAGCTCGCGAAAGTTCATGACTCACTATTTGCGCAACCTATCGGCATTTACGACATCTACGAGAACAACGTATGGATCCCCAGCGTCCCCCAGCGCCTGCAACTAGACTACTATCTCCGCAACTTTAACGACATCGCCCGAGGCAACTACCGCGCTCACCTCTCCAAGTCCCTCGACATCAACCGCACTATATGGTACTACGACGTATCCAAACTACACTCTCTATCCAACCGCCTCGACGTCGTGCGCCACAATGTCGTCCTCATGGCGTTCATCATGATCGCCAAGCAGCTCGGCCTCGACACGAGCAGCTTCCACGAACCCGGCGCAGAAGTCTTCATCGAAGCCTACATGGAGGCATGGTTATCCAAGACATGCGGCATGGACAGACACGAGCACGTGCATTCCTGCCAAGAGGAACTCGTCAAGGTCTGGATGAACAGCACTTTCGACCTATGCTACTTCCCGGATAAAGCTAGGCGCGACATGATCCAGGCGATCTATTATATGCAGCAAATGGTCTCTGAGCTGGCTACCATCCAACCTGATCACTTCTACGCGGCGGTCCTATCGGGTGAAGTACCACGCGACGCATTCGAGAAGGAGGGTCCGCTGTTGGTTCTACACTGGGTCTTTGCCAAGATGAGGAAGGAGCAGAAGCAGAAGGACGAGGAGGCGGCGGCGGAGGAGGCGATGGAGATTGAGCATATGGATAGGCCTGTCGGATTCTTCGTCGATACCAAGCCGGTTCGGATGGATGTGAGTCCAGTCAGTGACCTTCTGGTCGACATCGAGCCGGGAGTAGTTGCGCAGGCTTTGCCTGATGAGGCTAGGCGGTCGTGGATTAGTGTAGAACAGGCCCTAAAGATCATGAAGGATGTCGACAAGGACTTCCTAACACAGGCCATGGAGAGGGCTACATTAGGCAGAGACTAGATAGATAGTCGCGGTTGAGAGTACTACAATGACTACATGACAACCAGACATTATACAAAACAGTTCCTAGTTACCTGCTGCTTCATACATGCTAATAGAGTGCGTACATCTAAAAAGCACTTTTGTGGATGTAGGCGTTAAAGTCCTTTATGAACTTCCATACTAATACTTTTTTGCTACTGTAGTCTTTAACGTATTCAGGATTTGAATGGAAAAGGAAGATGTAAACAGCTTGTTCGAGATAATACATAACTTAACATGAAAATGTTCATGCAACAACGTAACATTGATGATCGAACGTAATAAATGCTGACTGAAGAAACCGAGAATGTGAGACGCATGTTGGAAAAGTGGAACGAGGGAGTGAATGACAACAACTAGATGAACATAGAAAGAAGGCGAAGGCAGTGCGAAAAGTTAGTCGACAGACGGGGGGCAATGACGAAGCGACATCACACTGCGCAACAAGATCCACATTCCCACAAAGATGAGTCTTGAACTTTAATTATTTATAAACAGGAGGCTCTTGCCTCCCTTTCCACCACCATCATCTTAGTTCCTAACATTCCCCCTAATCTCATCATCCCCACCATGCGTGTGAACATACGTCTGATCCCTCTCCTCAGGCGCACCGACACCACCATGCGCAAAGTCACCCGCCTTGGTAGGCTGACCGTTGGCCTTGATGCTGCCACCCTCGTCAAGCGGGATCTCGCGGTTGTTGCCTGCGCCAGAGGCGGCGGAGCCGTATTTTACTTGGGCGCCGGGGAATTTGCCTTCGACGTTGGCCGTGTCGACGCCGGATTCCGTTGCTGGAAGGGGGGTTAGTAGGGGTTTGGGATGGATGGATGGATGGGAGAGGGAGGGAGGAGGAAGGAGGTTGGGGGTGATGATGTGGGGGAAGGGAGAGGATAAACATACTGCTCAAACCAGCATTGTGCCCATGAACAGCGCTCTGGCTGTTGAGGTCCTGCTCAGCCTTCTTGGCGATCTCGTTGACGTCGGTGTTCTTATATTCGGCAGACATCGTTTCAAATATGTATCGTATGCGTAACTTGTTGTTCTGAAGTGTGTATCGGTAAAAACGTGGAATTTGGGTATCAAAGAAGTCGAAAGTGTGTGTATATGCAATGGAGGGGTAACTACAGGAGGGGCATTATAAACCTTTTGTATTACAACTACTAGCTTCAGACCACAGACCTCATCGATGATGATGAAAGAGTGGTGGACCCTGATGACATCACAACGACCTCATAACAGCGGGCCGAGACATGAGAATCCTTTCGCCATGTGGAAAAGTCCTGCCGATTAGTGAAGAGACTTATAAGCGGGAGCTTGCAAGTGGTAGGGGTTAGAGTAGAAAGTTTGCCGTGTTGGTCGCGTGTTGGTGGGGTGGGAGGTAGGTGCAGGTTGGCATCCAGGTACCAGATCCGAGTAGTATGACGACAACGAGATCGTGGGACAACGTAGAACGCACGCGCCAACATGGAAAGGACATCATGGGCCAGTAATCCATAGAATTATCATGTACCCAACCACCCAAACTATCGACTTCCACCACCTCCCCTCCGCCTCCCCCGCCCACCCAGAGACATGAGAATCCTTTCGCGATGGGGAAAAGTCTTGCCAATTAGTGAAGAGACTTATGAGCGGGAACCTGGAACTGCGGTAGAGGCTTTGGTTGATGGAAAGGTTTGCCGTTGTTGGTCGCATGCTGGTGGGGTGGTGGTGGTGGTGGACATCCAGGTACCAGATCCGCAGCGTATGACGACAAAGATCGTGTTGCAACACCGAACGCACGCGCCAACATGGAAAGAAGATCTTCTGTCTTTCGTGCTCGAGCGAGCCTGAGGGGTCTTTTCGCAAGGGCAACTTTGGTTGTGTACATCGAGAGATGGATAATCGGTAACGCTGTATTGCCAGGCTCGTCTGAAGTGGTCGTCTCCATACACACGCGCCAACATGTCAAGAAATATCGTAGGCCGGCAAAACAATAATGCATTTGCGCACAGCTATGCACACCTAATTACGCCTCATCATCTTTCATCTCTCATAAAGCCATGAAGTTCGTCCCTCATGAATGAATCGATTCGCCACTCAAGACTCCCTTCAAAACTTCATGACATAGCCAGAAACCCTGTGTGTTGTTGGCGAAAGAAGAAGACCGCTATGTAAAAAGAAACGCCATGCTCGCAAAAGTGATATATGCGCGGAAGCGAATGAAGTCCATACAACCAAGGAAACGTTTTGATGCCACATCCCCCATTATTACTGCTGCTGCTCTGCTCTTTCCTATTTCCTTACTCTTCAGCAAAAGTCACCTGCTTAAGCGGCGACCTATGTCGTTGCGAATTCTTGACACCGGGCTGTTGTTGTTGTTGGTAGTGGGAAAGAAACCTCGCGTCACCCTTCTGCCCATTACTCTCCACCCAGCTAGCAACTGCAGTCTGTCTTGTTCTGCTGCCGCGTACGGTGATGCTAGGCTTGAGAAGATTGTTCGCCTAGAAAATCTCCGAGTCGAGACTGCTGCGGTAGCTCTCGAGAGACTCTTCATCGTCTGCCATGTTCGTTAGTAAAAATTTACTTCAACTTCTCTTAAGTAGCGAAACTCACCCTGAATCGGCTTCCTGCGAACAACAGTATCCGAATGTTGTAGCGGGCTCTGAGGCTGTGGGCTCCTGCTGCCCATGGGCCTGGGGCCCGTGATCTTGCGCTGCGGGCTGTTCATACTAGCCTCGGAACGGAGGTACTGGCTGCTCGGGCGGGGCGAGGGTGTGGGTGTCATCTTTTTGCGCATGTTAGCATTGTCCTCAGTTCTTCTGAGGCGCGAGCTCAACTTACGCGATGGCCCCGGTCAGTCTCGAGTGAGTAACGCACCTCTGCAATAGGTGCAAGTGGTGTCAAAGCACCCTGGCTACCGAACTCATTCGGAGAGCTGTACATCTGCCTTGTCTGGCCGTAGCCAGCAAGCAGCTGTGGTGGTGGGACGAGCGGGCCGTCATCCGCGATCTTGGGAGGCCGAGGGGGGCCGGCCTGCTGCTCAGAAGCAGAGTGTTGGCTGTAGCCATCTGATGAGATTGGCGACAGGTTGCCAGCACCTTGTTGAGCCGACATGCCTGAGAGACGGTTGCGTGCCAGCGATGGCATGCTACCCCATTGGTCGTAATCAGGAGATCCTATGCTTGAACGAACAGGATTGTAGATCTGCGCTTGGGTCTCCAAGTTGTTCTGGTGACGACCGGTTGGCCCAGGTCGTGGCTGGGGGTGCTGCAGGTTCAGCGAGTTGCGATGCGCCTGGTACTTGGGGTCTTCCATCTCGTATTGGATGTCCTCTGGGATAAGAGGCGACGGAGAGCGTGCAGAACGGATCGAACGCTGCTCTTCCCTGGCTAGGGATGTGTTGGAACGAAGCCTGTCATCGGCATGCTGCTCGTATGGCTCCTCGTCATCGTAGTAGTCATCCTGGGAAGAAGACCTGGAGTGCATGGAGTGGGGTCGCCTCTCTCCAGACCCGCTGTTGCGTGGCAGGCTCTCTGGGTTGGTGGAGGTAGTGGTCTTTGACCATCGCGAAATCTTAGGGATACCAAAGATGGACGACGAGTTAGACTTGTGCTTGCGCTTCGGGGTAGTGTCATCGCTCTGTGAGTTCCGCGCTGCCCTCGAAGCTTGCGGAGGAGTTCCCAGCGATGCACGCTTTTCGGGGAAAGCTTCCTGGGTTGGCGTTGTCATGCGCTCGGTGTTCTCGTAGCCCGGTGTACGTGTACGCTCTTCGTACTCCTCGTCGCTTTCCTCTCGTACTGTGCTAATACGGTTCGTTGGTACAACATCGTATCCAGAGTGAAGATCCTGGATGCGGCGGGAAGACGAAGGGTTGGAGAAGTAGCCAGATTGGTCTGGCGAAGAGGCAGTGTTGGCACGGCCCTCTGGCTCGTAACCCGCATCACCGCTTGCTCGCAGTTCCTCGTACGAGTTGAGACTGTTCGTCCTCGCCTGCTGATCCAACGAGAGCTGGTTGACTTGCTTCAGGCCCTCCACCTCACCAAGCAACTGAACGAGCATTTGCTCGATGTGCTTGATATCGCCGTCTCCCTTGCCAGAGCTGAGGCCCTTGAGAGCACGCCTAAAGACGTTCTTCTTCTTGGTCTCGATGTCATCGTCTGAAGAGGTACGGTTGATACGAGGCGGTGTCTGGGGCTGAGGACGGGGACCGCCAAGAATGCGTTGCTCCGCAAGGTTGACTCGCTTGTCGGTGGTGTTCATGATCATCGTATCTTGGGTCTTGATGAACTGCCTCAGGTCATCCAACTGGTTGCGCATCTCCGCGGCGCTTCGCACAAGGGTGACGAGAATTTCGGTGTCGCGAGCATTGCGCTGGGCGTCGCGAACAGTGAGATGATCCATGAGCGCCACGATGTCCTTCGATTCGATGCGGTCCATGCCTTTGCCGGTAGCTGCGTCGTAGAGAGGAGAAGTCATGCCGTGTGAGTTGCCACTAACATGTCGGTCATGTTTGGCACGAGCAGCAAACATGTCAGGGCTTCCAAGGTCCGCGCCATTGTACTCATCACCGTAGCCGTCATCATCAAAGATCTTTGAGTGATTGCGGTTTTGTGGCGTGTACGCTTCACGTTGGTTAGCCGACTGGTAACCCTCGTCTTTCCAGCCGGTTTGGCCTGACAAAGGAGTGCGGTTACTCTGCGCATAGCCTGACTGCTCGTATTGTTGCTCACCTGGATAGGGATGATCATATTCATCTTCTACGGTGGCCTGGTGTCGTTGGTCGAACGAAGCCGGACTCTGCTGCTCTTCTCTTTCGTAAGCAGCAGCAGCCGCCATGGCAGCAGCTCCAGCTCCGAGTCCGATGGCACCTTTGCTGAAAGAGGTGGGAGTACGCTCTCGCTCTTCTTGTCGGCTGAGCAGCTCGTCGGTACGATCGTGGTAGCCATCGCCTCCTCCGATTGGCCCTTGGATGATGGATGGGTTGGTAGTTACATCCGAGT